TATAGGGGACCTGCAGCACTTTAGAATTAACTGCCCTGTAACTGCTATAGTCTGTAGGAATAATAGGTTAGGTTAATAGAGGCGTACTTCTAATAATTAACATTATGTTAGGTAGATTTAGGGATTCCCTAGGTATAGTACAGCACCTTGCTAGGTCACTGTTAGGAGAAGTTATACTACATGCTGCCTAACTAGTGTAACAAGCTATAGATATTTAAATTACTTACACTTAAAGCTTTTACTATAAAGTTAAAAGCATTACATCTTATAGTAATTTTACTTCTTCTAAGGAAACCCTTTTTATGTAATTAAGTTTTTTAGATAGTCTATTAGCTAAGTTTTTTAAACCTAGCTTGTATTTAATTTTAAAATTAAACTGCGCTAGCTCTTCTACTTAGTAGGCTTACTTAGAGAAGAGCTTTTTTGTTGTTATAAAATAGCGCAGATTATTATAATTAAAGAGTACTTAAATTATGCTTAGAGTGTACTCTAGGTAGTGCCTTTAATGTTTAAAGCTCTCTATAATTACGCATAACTTCTTATTGTGCGTATGCTAACAAAGTTATAAGCTGCTTAACTTATAGCTCTAAAAGGCTATAGGCCTCTAGTAGTAATTTACTACTAGCTTAAAAAACTAAGGCTAAAGCAGTATTACTACTATAGTAAACTTAAAAGTGTCTATAATAATTATAACTAGCTTTAATAAATTAAAGTGCTAAAAGACTAAAGTATTTATAAATTTTAACTTAAAAGTTAGAAAGGTGTTATAGGCCTTTTTAGGCTAGAACTATTTCTAGTACTACTTTATAAAACTCTTATAATTCTGCTTTACTTTCTTCTTCTTTTTTAAGTTAAAGCCCCTATAGAGCAGACTTAGAGCTTAAGCAGCTATTATATAGTTAACTAGTAGGCGTATAATCTTTAAGTAATTATAAATAAATCTTTAATAAAAGTTTATAAAGCCTAGAAATACTTAGATGTCCTTAAAGCTCTCTAGCTTAGGCTATTCCTTAATTATCTAGACGCGCAATAAGTCTATTACTACACTTTTTAGCGTAACTATAAAGCCTAGGAACTTAACAGCCTTTATCTTAAAAAAACATTTAAATGCCTTATAGTACAGTCTTTATTCTACTAGTTAATTAAGAACTTTAAAGACATGTTACTTATAGTCCTTTTTATTTTTAAAGTAAATAAAGATGTTATTTAGATAGATAATACACATCTTATCTAATAAGCCTTCTAAAGCCCTATAGATATAGGACTAAAAAGTGGCTAGGGCATTAGCTAGGCTAAAAGGCATAATAAGGTACTTAAAATGCCTATACTGCGTTTTAAAAGTAGTTTTCTACTTATCCCCTTTCTTAATACAAAGCCTATAGTAGGCGTTGTAAAAGTTAAGCTTTATAAAGACTTTAGCTTTTAATAAGTAATCTAACATCTTACTTATAAGTAAGATAAAATATTAGTTTTTAATTATAATTTTATTAAGACTTTAATAGTTAATATAAAGTTATAGTGTCTTATCTAGTTTTAGGACAAAGAGAATAAGAGCACCTGCTAGCAACCTGCTTAGGCGTATCTAACCCTTCTCCTAGGCTGCATTAAGGTATTCCTGTAGGATATCTAGTTTGTAGCAGGAGAGGTTATAGATTAGGAGGTTTAGAATCTTTTTTCTCTTCTTAATCTTTATAGCATAATTATGCTTACTGTTTAGCCTAAGGATGTTTGTACAATGTTTGCTAAAAGCGTACTACTAAGAGTAGAACTTAGGGGGAACATGTGCAAGTTCCTTAGGGTCTAGAGCGTTATTAGCATTATTAGTGCCTAGATACTTATTGCTGTTGTTAGAAAGTACCTAGGCAACGCCTGCAGGCAGTGTGGCCTAGCAGTGGCCTTAATTATAGATACTAGCTACTACATAATAGGCTATAGCTTTAGGAAGCTATAAAAGCTTTAGAAATATCTTAACACACTTTTAAAAATGCTTTTAAATTTTAAGCATGTACTTCTTTAACTAAAGCAGCCCTTAATAATAAAAGTACTCTGCATCCTACACTACGTCGCCACTAGGCCTAGGGGCTTGCGGAGCAGGTTTAGGGTGTCCCTAAAGCAGTTCCTCTAAAAGGGCTTTCTTCCTAACATTATTGCTTATTAGTTAAATAGTATAAGAGGTAGAGTGCAGCATATATGTAGTCTTTTTAGGACTAAAGTCCTTTAGGAGCTTCTTAGCAGATACTAACTAAATTCTACTATTATTATTCTCCTACTACTTAAATGTACTATCTTTAAAATAAATTTTAGAGTTAGCTTCTTGCAGCTAAAGATACTCTAAGATTAAGTTGTAACTTAAGAAATTAGCTAACTAGAATCTTTAAAGGCTAACTTCTTTATTAGTACCCCTATTATCTGTGCAGACAAGAGAAAGATTATATAGCAATCCTAACTATAATTAGTAATTATTAATAAAGCTTACATTAGGCTTCTTGTAGTAGTGCTTACACAAGAGGCTATATTCCTAAATAACGCTAGCGTTTATTAGGTTTAATTCAGCACCCATGTTGTAAAGGCCGCAGAGGATGGTCGTTCCGCCATCAGGGAGTTTGAGCTGCTACTGTACGCGGAGTATGAAGGATTCAAATTGTGAGAGCACTGTGAAGCAGGAAGCGTAAAGCGCAGAAGGGGGTACAGGATAGTATTAATAGACGAATCCTTAAGGAGACTCAGGGGTTCGTAAGAGGATATATATATATGTGCTGGGGCACGTGACAGGACGTCATGTGCCCAAGGCTGGGCCAAGGGCTCTCCGGGGAGAGTCTAAGGCATGTCTAAGTTGACTGTGACACACTTTATTATATTCTATCTAAATTAGTTTTAAATTAGTTTTAAATTAGTTTTAAATTAGTTTTAAATTAGTTTTAAATTAGTTTTAAATATTTTCTATACACTATAAGTAAAGACTATTAGCTTATAAACAGGGGGGGGGGGGAGTAGTGTATTAATTCTATAAATTGTTTTATCTTAGGTTGCTTAGATCCTATCTAAAGAGTCTCTGTATTAGCTCTAACTATAACTTAACCTAGTCCTCTATAGTTACCTTTATTTCCTTATGTATTTAGTTGCACCTTGCTTTTATAGCTAGCTTAGTAGTTTTCTAATATCCTTTTATACAAGGCCTATAGGTGTTAATGGCATTCCTAGGTTCAGAGTCCCCACGCACTCCCATATGCCTCTGAGTGGACTCCCACCGCATTCAGACCCATTGTCTTGCCTGTGCTGTTACATAGTGTACGTTAGTGTTAACTTTTTTCTTATCTTTTTATATTTATTATAACTAGAAAAAGAGCTACTACAACTAGAAAGATGCGAATAATTTACCAACAGTTACTTCTGCGTACAGAATAGTATATATACCCGTCGCGCGTAAGGTCCATCTCGGCCTTACATTATCCCCCTTCTTAGCAGACGCATGTCCCAGGCGCCACATGACCTACCCGCAGCTCAGAGGCGCCATGCGCATGACTCAGTTACCGGCCAGAGGCTGACCACCTGCGGCCTAGAGGCGCGGGATACACAACGCTTAGTGGCCCACGCTAGCTAAGCTATATACACTTGACCTTCTAGCAGCGACAATGTCTCCTCTTGCCTCTGCCTTTTACTAAATCTGTAAAGGATTTCTTCTTGGTCTGTTCCCCAAGTATGCGGAAGAATAGCGTAGTTTGAAATGTTGTAGCTTAAAAACTCAGTGGGCTGAGCTTGTCGTCATCTTTTATTCTGAGCAGACGCGTGATAAGAACGTCGCTAGTGAGCTCTAGGTATGCAAGCGGGTCAAAGAAGTTACAGGTATAGTGTGCTGTGCTAAGAATCAAGGACAATAACAGTGGGGCCGGCAGAGTGACGGAAATGGACGAGGGCAGAGCGCTGAAGTTGAACTGACACTGGGGCTGCGGCGGGGTCTAAGTTTCCGCCTGAGACTGTAACTAATTCCATCCTCTTCCTCTGCATCCCTCAATAAACACTGCGAGAACGACCTATCGAACAGCAGACAAAGCTGGAAAGTTCCACGGCCCTGTCAACGTCTATGCCGCCATCCCTGCACTTCATTGTGGGCTGATAGGGAAGATGAATTTTTGCTTCAGAGAATACGGCGCAGCTGCCTGTACGCGAAGACTCACTATCACACTTTTAACAAGTAACAATTGACAGAGCGAAAGCGAAAGCGGGGGCTCATCTTGACCGTCCCGTTCAGCTGAGGCCCTGATTTTGTGGATCGTCCAGGCACCTGAGCCTGGGCCCGCGAGAAGTATGCGACTCCAGCCTGCCGCGTCCCCAGCGGTCTCAGTGGGATAGGGTAAGTGAAATTCTGCCTTCAGATGTTGTGTAGTTCTGACGAAGCAATAGCAAGTCGTAGATTGCCATTCAAGGCTGCCACGATGTCCGGGCGGTATCACCGCAGATCTGGGTGTGCCAGGTGCACGCGAGTGTGATGGCGCGGTTCAAGGACGCGTAGAGCGGTATCACGGCTTCAACTCCCCAGCCAAAACGATCCGAGTGTTGATACTGAAGTTAAAAGTTCGAGTGACTGAGAGGGGAAAGAGACGCTTGGGAAGGAGCATCCAACACGCTGGCAACCGTGACCAATGGATAAAAGTGAGGGTAGAATATCAGATATCTTGAAAACTTGTCAGATTTGTTTCCGCTTCAAGAACTCCTCATCTGTTAAAGCATCTAAACAGACCGGAGTAGCGGGGGGTTTTTTTATGGGGGAAAGCAATACAGGTTAAGAGAGAATGGTGGGACAATACCGTAACATCTTCCCGAAAAGGCGATTGGAGTAGTAAGGCTCCTTTGAGGAAAAGGAAAGGGGTCACAAAGGATAAGTCTGAGGATGGAGCTCTTAGTTGCGCGATGCTGCTGCCTGTCACGTCATCAGAATTGCCTGATCTCGCATTAAGCATACCCACATACCTTCTCAAGATCTCTTCCAGGCTAAAAAGCTACTAGTACTAGCTATCCTCAACACTCACCCACCTTGGGGGCTCGTTTTCTCCATTCTCCAAACCAATTCTACGCGCTCCGCCAAAAGTGGTTATGTGCGTCGGTAATCCGCGAAGGGTGCGAAGGGTGCGACTTGGTTCTACGCCTCCTAGAAATCTTCAGAGCCAACAGCCGTCTTCCATCTTATCGCGCATCTACGTAATCCTCATTTAGTTCCAACAAATCTCCCATCCTCACCCCCTCTTCAATATCTACCCACTCCGCAAAACAGTCATCATAGTCCGGCGCAACCCTCAAGTCTGTCACCGCAACACTCGAAACCGGCGGCTGTGTCATCAACATCCTTCTCCAAGATGCCTCCTTATACTTCACCTCCTCTGTCCAGCTATCCATTGTTGAATGCAGTAGAATTTCCATGCAGAATGCCTTCCGCACCGTGAAATCCCTCTGCCAGATGTGGTACAGGCCCCTACGCTTGGAAATCTCGAAGACCTCTTCAAAGGCCGCAGCAAGGACAGGATTCGGCTTCAAATCGGCAGGGGAGGCATTTGAAGGTACTTCGCGCGGGAGGAAGTACAAATCCCGTTGGATGCGAGAGGAGGAGAGAATGACAGTGCGCCAACGCGTGCAGACGGATTGTGCCATGAGGAGGTCGTACATGGGGAGTTGGAGGAGGATTTGCTCGATGAGTTCAAAGACGGAGAGGACCGCTTTGCGGGCGGTGTCATTTGGTTCAAGGATGGAGACGGACTGGGAGATGGCATTGCGAGGGATGCGTGGTTTGTAGGCTGAAGCCATTGTTATTCTGAGGATTTGGGTGGCTTTGGGGGCCATGGTTGTTGAGCCTTGCATCAAGACAGGGAGAACGCGTTAAGATCTAGGAAATTGTTTGAGGGTCCGTGCGAATTTGGCTGGAGGGGTTGAGCAGCAGCAGCTTTTAGAGGAGTATTTTTGAGGAGAGAGAAGGCTGTCTTCTGCGGAAATTTCACAAGTTTTATTTCCCTAAGTATACTGTTATACGCAAAAATTTCTTCTTCCTAGGTAGATGTTTAATTATCTCCTCATACACGTGAAAAACAAGTGCATTTGTCTCCATCAGATACCATGTTCAATTGCGCACCGTTGACCCTCTTCGCAACTCAGACCAATATCAGCTACAGATGGCAATTTCAACCCAATGATTCTGAGAACCAAGACAAATCCTACATGTGCATCCCTGATTAACCATCTCCCCTGCAGCCAATCCGCCGATCCCCTATTCCTCTCTAATGACGCAACACATCCCACGTCGCTCTGCCGCACCAACGACATCTCAACCTAGCTCCAGCTCAACATTCGCCAAAGATGTAGCTCCCAAGTGTCAGCTCAGCTTCCAAACATCATTATTTGACGCCCCAGCACCACTTCGGCATTCAAAATGGCATCGGTCCTAGGCCTCTTCATTGGTGGTGTAGTGACCGCCATCCCCGTCGTTACAGGCGTTGCGGAGGGAGTCTCGTATCAGAAGCAGCAGAACGAGGAAGCTGCGAACGAGACGCGGATGATAAAGTTCAACATGAATGTGTCTTGTGAGTCGGATGATGAGTTGGTGGATGAAGTGGATCAGGGGATTGTTGTATTGCGGCATGACAAAGTATGGCTCCTACGCTCTCCCTTTTCCGTCCCCAATTGCATATTCGCCCAATATGCACTCGCCCAATATATGGGCTAACGCAAAATCCTGCAAATATAGGTCTGGATAGTCCCGCGCGACGACAACAACAAACCCATTCCTCCCGTCGACACTATCAAACCACCTCTCCACGCCTTCGCAGGCTTCTACATCCAATACCCGGACGACGACCGCTTCCCTGCTGAACGCGGCCTTGTCTCCACTATCTCCGACGATCCTCCAATGTTGAACTGGATCTACGTCGACCGCACCACCTACGAACTCCGTTACGGAAACCGCTCTGCATCTATACAACACATAGTCGGGGAATGGGACTGGACAGACGACGAATCAGCGGTTACACTTGACGGCTGGGAAGGTTTTGTTGCGGTTGATGAGGGGGATGGAGAGGGTACGAAGTGGGGCGGAGAAGGATTACGGTGGGCGGTATACTTTGATAAGGATGATAATGGGCTCAAGGGAAAAAGGGGGAAGAAACCCATGTTGGAGGTTAATTTAGAGAGGAAGTTGCAGAGTGAGGAGGAGCAGTTGAAGCAGCTAGAGGATGCAAATCGGAAGATGCAGGTTAAGAGTCAGGGGGATTTGAAGACGCAGTTTACGGCGCCTGCAGCGGATAAGAAGAAGAAGAAGGTTTGGGGCAAGTAATTGTTCTCCTTGGATACGTTAGGGTGGCTATTTAAACTGCCGTATTCGGGGAACGGGCCCATTGTGCTTTATTATAGACTTGATATCAGGGTATGGGCAGGCGTCTTCTACACATGGGTGGGTTGTGGTATCATCATCCTTATCCTGAATATGTTCATTCTATTTCAACTCTATCTTATAATCGGCGGTTGGGTATTTTCTAGGCATATTTACAGATTTCCTACTAGGGCAAGCTTTTCTACTTCAATTTGCTTGTGAATTGAGTGACGATTGTGGGTTAAAAGAAGGGTTGCTCAAGTGCGACTGCAGTCCAGGGGCATGCAAGCGTACCCTAGTGGGCTCTTTATCATCTAACAATTGAGCTACCATCAACACTCTAATTCCAGTTTCCTTCAATTTAGGTGCTATAGGCCGGAGTTTCAATGCCGTCACAATCGTACCTCGAGGGTCCTCAGGTGGGATTATCAGGATGGGGAGAGGGGGGGGGGGGGGGGGGGGGGGGGGGGGGGGGGTTGACCTCCACTAATTTATATCTATCGTGCTCGGCACCCCGCTGCACCTAGAAGCCGAGACAGCTACAAAAGCGCTTCGCAATTCAGCGCATTACCTAACAAAGAGCTCACCTTGTGCCCTAACCATCCGACGCCGATGGCGGCACTGTTGCTCCCAGGACCTCATCATATCACAAAAAGGCTAATACACTCCCGCAAAGCACCCACAACCTACCCCTTACCTCCCGAACCCTACCCTCCTGCCTATCCCCCCTTTCCCTTCGACTTTTCTCGTCGAAGCTCCCTAGTCCCTTCTCGAAGAGTGATGGGCGATCACCTGCTTCAATCGCGCTAACGCGCCCTCCAGGTACTTCAAGCCCGCAGTGTGTCCAACCGTTAGTTACGGAGCCTTTTGGAGGCTGTATAGTACAGTTACGGAAGAGGAGGCTGTTACTAACTAACTGTACGGAGGAGATGACGTCAGTGTACGGTTAGGATACAGTAACTGAAGTATATTGAAGTATTATGAAGTAATTGCGCTGAAGCTAAAGACTATACCTAATTAGGAAGTTGTGATACCCCTTGTAAGATCTACTGTTGTTAATCTCACTGTTTTAATGTACTGTCACGATTGTGCACGAGTAAGGTTATAGAGCTTCACAGAGGTCTAGTTTAATTACTACGTGAGGTATTATAGTAGGTATAAGACATTGTGTAAGAAATAAGAAAGTTTAAAAAGAAATTAGTAATTAAATACTTAGCTTAAAAGTCTAAGCGCTTTAAGTATAAATTAAGCCTATTTTAAGTTTAGTTAGTGTTAAAGCAGTTTATACTTAAGTTTATATCTATGTTATGTTATATTTATATTAGACGTGCACTAATAATACTTTAGTACATGTCTAATATAGTTATGTCTAGGATCTAGGGAGAATACTGTAATAGTACCCCCCCTCTTATTTAGAAGAGAATCCTTTACATTAGTAGTTCTAGCATTAGGTTGTCTTTATTAGGGTACAGGTTTAGTTTAAATAGGTATTAGGCATAGAATTAAGTTACTATAGAGTTCTCTTATAAAGCTTTTATAGGTTCTTATAACAGTTTATTATATCTAGTCTATTTTATAAAGTATTTATAAATATGTTTTTTCTTATTAAACTAGATTTATTTAATGTCTTTTATAATATATTTTAGTTTATTATTTATAATAATAGGTTTAAGTAGCAGGTTTAGCTATTTAGGTAGATAGTTAGATTTAAAGGCTACTTAGCGCAGTAATAATATATAAAACACAGGGTGTATTTTTATGCTGTTAGGTAGGATTAATTAGTAAGCATATAATAAGACTATATAAGCTACTATAAAAAAGCTAAAGTTTTTTTAATTAAGTTTCTTTAATTATTAGTTTATTTAAATATTTCTAGTGTCTAGCTAGACCTTCTTACTAGCTGCATACATAAAGGCAGAGGTTTAAAATTAGTTTATGTACTCTTATTAAAAAGCTTAAGCTTATATAAGCTTTTTATAAACATATTTAAATATATTTTAAATCTTATTAATAAGTCTATTTATATTTATTACTTATATAAATTAATAAGTTAGTTAAAAGGTATTTATAAGCAGTTTAAATTTTATTTAAAAGTAGTATTTATAGTTTACTAAAAACAGAGATACTTATATTAATTTAAATATTATGTTATTAGCTTTAAACTATGCTATAGCTAACTATTTTACTTAGTTATTTTACTAGTAGTTTATATACACTTATAAGACTTATTTTATTATAGTGTTTATATTTTTAGTCTAGCTATTAGTCTCTAGGTAAAAAGCTGTAGATAAATAAAAAATAATTTAAAGCTATTTATAAAGTTTATCCTAAAAGGCTAAGACAAACTATGTACCTCTGTCTAATATAATTATGTTAGGCAGGCTATAGTAAACTTATACATATTAGTAGAATAACTAGGCTATATTAGAGGCAGTTATAAAAGAACATAGTATTAAGTATTAATACTTAGTTAAGTAATTAATAACTACTATAATATTTATATACTCTTTAGATAGAAGTAGGTTTATAATAAAATTAATTAATATATCTTTTTAAGCTTATTTAGAGATTAGAAGTAGTTTAAGTAAGCTATTATACTTTTTTTAAAAGGCCTTTACTTTACAGTAAGTATAGCAACATAATATGTATTAGCGTACAGTATAAAACATGCAGGGCTAGTAGTACTCTCTCTGTAGTAGGTTAAAAGTCTTTTTTTTGCCTAAGTGTTTTTTAACAGGCAAGTTATGTATAATTTAAAGTAGTTTAATTCTTAGTTTATTAAAATTAAAAATTATAAGTTAGTTATAGTAATATAGCTTACTATTTTAGTTTTTATAGTTAGCTAGTGTTACTTTCTTTAACTAACTAGCGCTGTTTTAAAGCAAGTCTAAAGTTTCTTAAATAAATTTATTATTTAAATACTTATTAGTAATAATTTAATTAATTATCTAATTTATTTTATTTAAGTTAAGGTTTAAAAATAGCTTAAGTTAAAATAAAGTTTAGTGTTAAGCCTTTTACACTTCTTTCTAAGTAAAGATGTTTTAGAATTACTTTATAAAAGCATCTAGTTTTCTTTTATTTTAACTAAAATAATAAGTAATTTTAAAATTAAAATAAAATAAGTATTTAAACTAATAAGCTTATTAGTAGCTAAGTTATTTTATAGTTATAAAGTACTGTAAGTTCTTATAGTTAGATAGAACCTATATTAGATGCGCTGCACTTTTTAGTTTAAGTTGCTATTATTTAAAGTAGTGTACTATAGTAAGTAATTTTTTATTATAGATTTTATAATTACCTTCTACAAAACTTATTTTTTTTAAGAAGTATATAATAGGCCTAATAGTCCTATCTAGCTTAGTCTAGAAGAGAACTTCTGCTACTATGTAGTCTAAGGCATTAGCTTTTATAAGTATTAGTAGTTTAAAGTTAAAGTAGTAGAGTATTAAAGCTTTAGTAAAAGCTTTTTTTAGCTAGTTAAAAAACTATTAGTAATTTAAGTTAAAGTTAAATTAAACTTTTTTTTTAGTAAGTATAATTATAAGGCTTACTAGCTGTAAAAAGTTATTAATAAATTATTAGTAAAAGTTAGTAAATCTTATAAAGGCTTAAACATTCTTTACATTTTTTAAGTATTACTAATCTAGCATAGTTTAAACCTTAATAAGGTCTATTTAGATGCTATTTATAAAGATTACATATTCTAAATATATAACTTTTAATTAGTAGAACTTGCATTTATCTACATTAAGTTATAAACCTGCTTCTTCTATAGCCTTTAGCACTAAGTGTACATGCTGTTTATACTCTAAAAAGCTATTACTATAAATTAAAATATTATTAATATATATAGTATAGAACATGTTTAGGTAGGGTTAGAGTAAGTTATTTATAAAATGTTAAAAAGTACTAGGCGTGTTAGCTAAGCTAAAGGGCATTACTAGGTACTTAAATAGTCTATATTAGGTCTAAAACGCTGTTAGCTACTTATTACCTTTTACTATTTTTAGCTTATTAAAAGTAGTAATAATATCTAACTTTATAAAATACTTTACTTTACTTAGTTAGCTTAGAGTTTTCTATAAAAAAAAAATTAAGTATTAGTTTTTAATAGTAATAGTGTTTAGTTTTTAGTAGTTAATGCAAAATTAAAGCCTACTTTTAAGTTTCTTTATAAATAGTATAGGTAACACTACTAGTAAAAAGCTAGCTTAAATAAACTTTTTTTTTAAGTTTTTATTAAAGTATTTTTAAAGCACTTTTAATTTATTTAGTAACATCTTATATAGTAGCCTATAACTAAGTTATTTACTAGGCTTAAAAGTTATTTAGTAATTATATAGATATTATATTAAAAGCTTATTAAACTTATTTTAGAAAAAAATATATAACAAGTTATAGTAGTTTTAAAGAACTATTATTTTTAAGTTAGTGTGTTTTTAGAGAGCTAAAGCTTAGTTTATATTAAAAATTATAACTGCGTAGATTTTGTAATCTAGTTATTAAGCTAAGGTTATAAATAAAGTAGGTTTTATATAGCAGATGTTTATTTACTATTTAAGTTCTAGTTTATGTTTAAATTAAGTAAGTAAAAGTTTTTTAAAAGCTTTTTTTTTTTAAGTTTAAGTAGTTATTAAATTATTTTACATAGCTTATTTTAGTAAAAGGCCTAGCTTATTAGCCTTACTTAAGTAGTTTTTCTTTAAGTTATTAAAAAGTAAGTCTAAAAACTTTTTATATTAAGTGCTATTTAGGTATTATTTAGGTGTAAGTGTAAGTATATATTTTAGCATTAAAAAGAGTTAAAGTTTAGAACTTACTCTTAGTAATTAAAAGCAACTTTATGCTAATACAGCTATAGTTGTCTTAGAATTAAGTTATAATATTTTATGTTTATTACATAAAGCTTAATCTGCTTTTTATAGTGTTAGTAAGTAATTATAATAGTTATAGTATAAAAAATAAAACTTTTTTTAAGTTATTTTCTATTAAATCTAGTTAAGTAAATTATTTAAGTAAGTAGTGTTAATTAAAAATTTAGTTTACACACTAGTTCTTTATTAATATAACTTATACTATTTACTTTTAAGTTAATAAAAGCTTATATTAAAGCTAATATAGTTTTTTATTATAAATATATAAAAATATTAACTTAGTACTTCTAGTTATTAGTAAAAAACTTAGCTTATAAGTTAGTAAAAATCTAGTGTTAAATTAGTCCTAGAAGGCAACTTAGCCCTAGAACAAGCCTTTTTATAGGCTTCTACTACTATAGCTGTAGCTATGTTAAGAGTAGTAAAAAAGATTAAAGCTTAAATATAAGTTAAAGCTTTTATAAAAATAAAATTAAAATAGTAAAAATTTTTAATAAGTGCTAGTAGCACTACTTATGTAGACTTAAGAAAAAGAAATAAAGCAGTTTTAAAAAATATAACTATACTTACTATACTTAAAGCATTAACTTTTTTTTTATAATTTTTACACTTTTTAAAACTAACTAAAGCATAATTTAAATTAATTTTTATTATATTAAGGTTTTTATTTGCAACTACGCTAGTTTAGAGGTGTATTAAAGCTTATATAAAAAGAAACCTTATGTTATTATTATAAGTAGTAATTAGGTTTGCATATGCATTAAAGTTGTTTAGAAGGGGTTCTTCTACTATAGCATGTTGCAGTTTAGTTAAGAGGGAGTTATATAAAGCTATAATTAAACTTATTTTATTTAAGCCTATATTAAATGTAAGTTAGTAGAACTTAGTAAAGTATAAAGTAAAGCTTTTTTTTTTTATTATAAAGTGTTTAAGTAACTTAGAGCTGTTAACTTTTTATTTAAGTCTTTATAAGTTACTTATAAAAACACTATAAATTAATTTAAGTTAATAATATCTTTATTTATTAGTAAGTTAATTAAGGCTATTATATTATAGTTAAGTTAAAAGTAAGTATATAGTAACTAAAAGCATTTAAAGAGAAATTAGTTTATATTTTCTTTAAGTTTATATTAAAGCTTATATAAAAAAAAAAGTAGGTCTTTTTATTTTTTATTAAACAGTAGAGGATTAGAGAGTTAGTTAGATTTTATTACTAAGTTAAAAAAGTTATAAGTTATAAGTAGTGTTAGATAGAAAAAAGTTAAGCTATTTTTAGACTTTTAAGTAAGCTTTAAGGCTAGTAAGTTCTTAGTTCTTACTACTATAATAAAAGTTAAGGTAGAAATAGACTACTTAATAATATAAAGCTATTCTTTAAAGTTTTTTTAAAAAGCTTTAAAGCTTATAATATAGCAGCTTTTTTATAAAGTAAGCACTTTTTAAAAAGCTTTTTAGCTTACTTTAATAGCTTAAAGTTATATAAGTACTAAGCTTATTAAGTTAGATTTAAAAGCTATTCTTAGCTAAAGTTTTAATATAACATAATGTTATAATTATGCACAAGTAAGGTTATAAAGCTTTACAAAAGTCTAGTTTAATTACTACATAAAGTATTATAGTAAGTATAAAATGTTATATAAAAAATAAAAAAGTTTAAAAAAAAATTAGTAATTAAATACTTAGCTTAAAAGTCTAAGCGCTTTAAGTATAAATTAAGCTTATTTTAGGTTTAGTTAGTGTTAAAGCAGTTTATGCTTAAGTTTATGTCTGTGTTGTGTTGTGTTTATGTTAGACATGCACTAATAATACTCTAGTACGCGTCTAATACAGTTATGTCTGGGATCTGGGGAGGATACCGTGACATGTACTCTGTAAGCTCAGTTAGCTTACTAGTAACAGCGTTGTTACGTAACTAATTCTTCTGCAGTTAAAGAGCCTCTATTGTCAACCGCGTTGTTGATTGGGATAGAAATTAGGACATCATAATGGGCAAAAGAATAACGTAGATGGCATAGTTGCTGAATTTGTTAGAAGATTGCTAACAAAACAGGCAATAACGGCATTCTCCGCATTAATCTCCGAACACGAGCCCCCTGGCCCTCAGCAACCTGCCTTCAACCGCCCAAAACCACCAAAAATCCTATATAACTACCGTAAACGGTTAGTACAGCAGCCTCATGTATAGTACAGTATACTGAGTAGATGCCCTGTACGTACGTACGTGACCAAAATCAGTGTACTGCAGTACTGTACTATTAGGTGTACTAACGGTTGGACACACTGTCAAGCCCTCCAGCCCTGCGCAAACCTAAACTCTATTCGCCCCGCTCTTCGCCTTTAGTTTTGCCCAGTAATGTTGGCTTAAATACCTGTGGATCAGTTTCATACGGTGGATGGAGGGGCTCGGGCTGAGGCAGGCTACTTGTCAAGTTTCCCTCTGTGTTCTCACCATCAAACAGCTTCAGTGTATCAAGATCCTTAAAGAAGGGGGCACAAATCACCTTTGGCATTCAATCACTCACTAAGCCCTACCAAATCGCCTAGCACCAAACTTTAAGTACAGTTCTTTGAAGACGCGAAGGATCTAGAGCATTGCGAAAAACCTGTAAAGCTTATAGAAAATTTAATATGCTGCCTTTGAATTGATATCCCCTTTTTCAAGAATCTGTACGCCTGCGGTAATTGGGAGACGGATGTCTTGCAGCTGAGGATTTGATCCTATCTGTTCTTCATAAGATATACCGGCGGCTGGTTTACATTTTACAAGGGGAACATCATAGACTTCTTTCCCGCAATCTACTGCTAAGAGGAAACCGTACTCTCTTGTACATTATGTCCCTACTAAAACAAGAAGGGATCGAATATTATAGGAAAGAAATGCTAGAGACACCGCCTGTAGATGTAACGGGAATGAGAAATTGTCAGCTGACGAAAGATCCAACCCTCTCTAACCCTAAGTTGAATCAACAAAGAACCCTCTATCCCAGCGGACACCTCATGCGCCAGTGCTTCCCAAGTCCCAGGTCGTTAAAGCACCCAGCCCTGCATCAATTGCCTTCTGTACTGTCCACATCTACCAGAGAGCTTGCCCGTATTCTGTCCAGGGTAATGGGAAGTGTAGGGTAGTTGAGTAAAGGAATAACATGAAAACGGGGTAAAGGAAAACAGCGCACGATTGATCTCAGGGCTACCCGTGGTCGTCATCATCATCCTAGTCCCTACGACCATCCCCATATACATCCTCTGGGTCTGGTATTTCTTCTTCTGAGTCCGTTAGTTCCTCTTCTGAGTCCGCTATTTCTTCTTCTAAGTCCGTTATTTCACCTTCTGAGTCCGCTATTTCATCTTCTGAGTCCGTTATTTCGTCTTCTGAGTCCGTTATTTCGTCTTCTGAGCCCTGTTCGCTCCCCGAATCCTCATCGTCTGATTCAGAGTCGGACACAGACTCCCATTCGATATCACAATTATCCATGCAATCTACCCAATCCGCCCTACAATGAACGCACTTGATGCCTCGTCGTTGGACCAGGTTTTCACTGCGCCAGCTCTCAAAGCAGTCCTTATGAACACTGCGACCGCATTGTGCCTTGCACCAAACGAGATGGTTCAGAGGCTGGAGAGACATAGGCTCGTCTGCTTGGCAAATGGTGCATTCTTCGTCTATAGTGCGACGACGGACGTGGTTGCCACGGCAGGTGCGTGAGCTTGAGGCTCGAGAAAGGTTGAGCGATGATATCGATGATGTTGATACTCTCGAGGGCACGGAAGGTTGGTGAGATTGAATCGTGGAATTTCGGGAGCTTGATGGCTCTGCAGGAGGGCGAGAGGAGTTATCGGGCGGCGGAGTGCTTGATGTAGCAGGAGTTTGGCGAGATAAGAGACCAGTTGTAGAACTTGCTGGCATGGTGGTGCGTGGTTGTGAAGGGCTTTGGGGAGTAGCCCTGGCGGATACCCCATCCAGGCGACTCTGAATGCTTCGAGCCCATTGCTGCCATTGTGTGTCATTAGATGACCGTGAAGAGCGTGGGCGACTTGTCTGGGTGAGAATCTCGTCGAGGCCACGCTGGAGAACACAAATAGTCTCGTGAAGTTCGTCTAGCTCGGCCCTGTCAGATCCCGGGAGGCTTGGAGTGGTAGAGGAAGGGTTTCTCGTCGATTGTCCGCTTTGGGTCACCCCGATTGCTCCCTCAGGAAAAGCGTGTCGAATCCGCTCTCGCCAGGTTTCGTACATATTGCCGGCTTGATCTCTGTGGTTACGAACGCAGAGCCCAACAATGGCAAGCTGCTTGAGCATGTCACGAATGCTGCGACTATCGGCGTCCGGTTGCGATATCGAGAGTTTTCGAAGAAGGTCATCCATCTCGCGAAGATTATGTCCTGCTACGATGTTGTGACATTTACGACCCTTTGAGGGCGCCCATCCCACACACCGCCCATCGTTCTCAACTCGGAGGACATTGCGCGGGTTCCAAAGGACTTGCCGGTCGAAGGAGGTTGTGTTTCTAGGGATTGATGATGGCATGTTGGAATAGTGTGGAGTGCTTGAAACTATAGAGGTATTTTAACAGGCAAGTATCGCGTTATATGCCTCCCATTGTTGAACCTGAGGTATTTTGTTCTTCTCATTGTCTATGTCCTTAGCCGGGGCACTTACTCAATTAAATCAGGATTATTATGCGGACTTGTGGCGGTGCCCACCATGAGGTTGCACGAGCGCAAGGCTGAGTATGGTTCAGTCATGGGGCGATGCGCAGGACGACACCGGTGCTATGGTTCAACAGGGCGAGCCTTGCGGCCTGCAAGCTTGTCCTAAATGTCCCCCGCAAAGTTGTGTGGTGGATCCTCTTTGAGAGGTGACCTGTTATGTATATTCAGTCAACCCACTGCTGGGCTTGAATTCCGCGTATATCATATCAACAAAAGGCTGTAGAGGTTAGCTTAGAGATTAACAAGAGAACTACACTAGTATTGGCATTCCAAACCATTCATGTTTGAGAGGCCGCTTGTGGGGGCATTTGGGGCTGATGCGGCGTAGGTATGGACGATTGGAAGAATATCTGGAAGGATCAGCACCTGACCTTTCAGCCACAGCATCTTCGTTTCAAGTTAATAAAATCCCTGGAAATTCCATCTCCTCGCACTCATGTTAGCACCCACACCAGTCTCCATCACTCCACCACCATCCAACAAGCCCCAGTTTCCCGCCTCACCTCCCACACTCGACATCCCCCAAACACGCCTAGCCTATGAAATTCATCTTCACCTCCCTAAACCTCCCTCCAACCCCCGAACCCACCGCCTCTTCAACAAACCCCCACTCCATCTCCTCCACCTCCCCATGCGCAAGTCCAACATTGTCGGCCACCCGTGCACGAGACATTCCTCGATTCATAGAAGTAGGTGCGGTAGAGACAATGAATTCGGCAAGTAAAGAAGGGCTTTGATTCCATACTCTTATTTGCGTCCGTAACCGTAGTAGTTCATTCTTAACATGTAGTCGGATTTCCTAGCGCTCACACATATTGCGAATTATATGCATGGCGGGTTCTGTTAAGGTTAGACTCTTTGGTGGAGGTTTGGGGGTCGTCTCCAGTGGCTGATCCTGTGAGGATGAATGACTCTTTGGGGATATGGTGTGGCGCAGGAGGTGCGCCAGAGAGATATTGTTGATGTTAGACATGGTATACGGCCAGGAGAGTATTGGGAAACGTTCTTCACCTTGTAGATAAGAATTCGACTGGAGCTGAAGCAGAATGTGCTCGAGTGCTAGAGGGGGAGCGATTGAAGCCAAAAAGGGATGTGTGTACTACTTTCTCGCTTAATTGGTGGAGAGGGGTGAGGAGTTATAAAAGGAACCCTGGACCATTCCCGAACACGTGAACACCAGAGGGACTTGTCAAATTCCAATTTTGTTTCCACATAAATAGTACCATTCCGGGTATCAAAAGACCGTATCCAAAAGGCAGGACGCAAGACCATAATACCTCTTACTCGAACATGGTACGAGACTGATACGTCATATGGTCTGCCCGCGTTGTCGTCGTTATCATACTCTACTCGTCCAGCCACTCGGCCGCCTTCTCCACTATCCCTGTCGAAATCCCAATCCACTTATACACACCGTTCTTATCACCTTCTTCTATGGCCTCGACGATCCCAGGAAATGTTGCTCCAGCATATCCAGTCCACTTTCCGGGCGCAAAGACTATGTGCTTAAACCACGGCCTCTCATCTAGGCCCGGTGCATACAAGAACTGCCGTTCGAGCAATTTATATTTGGTGTTGACACGGCGGATGGCGTAGTATATTTTAACTCTCTCCCACCATTTCCACCACGGGATGTCGTCGTCAATGGCCTGCTGGAGAAGTTTTGCAGCTAGGGCGTCATGCGATTGTGCTACGCTCTGGAAGCGGGCGATGGCTTTGTCAAGGGAATGGAAATGTGATTTCGTCGGCTCGTTCTCAAACTTCATCTCCTTAGCTTTTGCTTTGACGGAATCGACATATTTCTCAAGGCCGATGCTGTAGTCAGTAGCGTTTAGTTGGATGACAGGGGTCTCGATAAGGTTCGCGGCTAATAGACCCCAGATCTTAGCGATGGTAGCGTGGTAATGAAAGCCAGGGTCGCCAAAGCGCTCCATCCAATCAAACGAGTCGTAGTTGGAATGGTAATGGTAGATCGGATTCTTGCGGCCAAAGCTGAAGCCCATATCGAGTGAAGGAATGCCGGCAAAGTCTTGGAAGGCCGTGAAGTCGGAGCCAGAGCCCATGGTGGAGATGTGGTGGTTCCATACATCACCGACGGTTTGGTTCGCGGTCGTCTGGTTGGGGGATTGGACGAGATGAACTGAGATGTTAGTACGTACAGGACATGCCAGAAGAATACTTACCGGTGTCTATGAGCACCTTGTTCAGGAGTGGTGCTGCCGAGGTTTTGAAATCAGGGCCAACTGTGCCCACGTCGACATTCAAGTATGCGATGGTAGCTTGCTGGAGCCAGGGAAGGTATTCCTCAACCCATTCGGTCGACCCAAGTAGTCCATATTCTTCACCATCCCAGCTTGCAAAAACAATAGTTCGAAGCGGTTTCCACCCAGCCTCAAGCGCCATTCCAAAGCCACGGATGACTTCATTAAATGCAGCCGAACCGCTGTTCGGGTCACCGGCTCCACCAGCGATCCAGGCGTCACGGTGGTTCCCCAGTACCACGACTTCATCCGCGATGCTGCCGTTTACGATGCCGATGACATTCCACATCGGCGTTGTCACATACTCTTGCTCATTGACGAGATTCAGGGCGACGTTAGACGGCGAAGGCCCGATGTTGTACTCAACGCTCTTGTATCCCAATCCTCCACCCTCCCAGTATTTGTTGAACGACGACGCCTTCGGCCCGTGGCCATTGAGGGCCTTGAGAAGAGGGAGTGCGTCGAGGTAGGATATGGGTATCGAGGGGATGGAAGGAATGGCGTGGTCGACGGGTTGGCGAGGGACACCGGGCTTTGAGGGGTAACCCGGGGTCGTTGGATCGCCAGGAGCGAAGCCTGAGGCTAGTTAGAATTTCTAAACTAAGGCAAGGTACTCTGTACTTACTCAAGAACTGTGTGCTGCCTCTCTGCACGCTGCTTGGCTCCCGTGCTGGTCCTTCGGGGTATGTAGTATTCCCGTTTTCATCGGTGACGTCTCCATCATCGCCGGGATCGCTGTAGATGACCGCTCCAACCATCCCAAGCTCCTGAGCCCTCTTGACCTTTAAACCCCTGAATATCCGGCCATACTTAATCAGCGCGATTTTGCCTAACAGGCTGATGTTGGCTGCCTGCAGCTCCTGAAAATCCTTGAACGTCCCATAATTACAGTAAACGAATGGCGCAGTGACGTTGCCCGATGCGCTGTACCCGTGGAAGGTGGGGATGCGATCCGGGAGGCCGCTTGTGCCATCCTCCTCCAGCACATCCTCCTCCAAACTCGCTTCGTACTTGACTTTCCATGTTGCTTCGGCGCTAGTCACGGTAGGGTCGCCCCTATTCGATTTCTCGGTCTTCTCTAGCAGTGCCAATCGATGGCCTTTCGGGTAGTTCACATATATGTCGTAATCAACGATGAGGGTGTTCTCAATGCCAAATTGCTGCCATTTCTCTTTAGTCCAAATTGCCTGGCTCAGGTTCTTGCCAGCCAGATGCGGCCCCGAAGTATAGTATTTGCTCCATTTCTTTGCCATTTCCGCATCCGGAGTATTCATGAGGATGTCCTGTAAGTCCCTGTATTCCACCCCCTGTGTCCGCGGCCACGATGGTGGGACATCGCTCGCTTTCCATGGGAGGTATGCGCCCCAGTCTGCTTCATCGCTATCATCGAGGGGGACAAAATTCAACACAAGCAGGACAGTAATCAGTCCGAGGAGGAGAGCAGAGGAGAGGAGGATGGTACAGATACGGCGGAGGGTATGGTGGGGATAACGTGGTCGGGCTGGGCGGATTTGCACTACAGCAAGCAGTGGCGTATGTTCGTCGGCCATGGTGAGCTTCTCATTGCTAGATCGATTATTCATGCAGATAAGGAAGGGAAAGAAGAGGGGGAAGGGGTGCTATAGAAGTCTGATAATATGGTCAGATGAAGAGGTGAGTGTTGAAGGATAAGCTTGGTGCTGAAGCTTTGAGCCGTGCTTGGCTTCTGTCGTCATCCACACCCTGAAGCTCCGTCGGTTTCATCTAATCTTATCACTTGGCAACGACTTTATTCGTTCTGGAGCGTGCTCCTCTTACTACGGCGAATCGAGTCCTTGCCAGCAGGCCTCTATTATGTACAATGATAACCCCACTCGAGCACGGCCTGGAACTAGAACTCTCTAGGACGACCGCTTAAAAGTTCCCGTGCTCTAACTTAAGATAATTGGCTAATGCCCACACTCACACTAGCCACATGCACGCCGAGCACTACTTCCCTCCAACACTGGATTCAAGACACTTCCGCATAAAGACTTCTGCATAATAACCAGTCAGAAAATTCCATAGGGCTTCCTTGGTTATAGAGGCTTCTGAGATGATGTTTACCTGGAGATGAAACTGCTGCTCTCGTCGCCGCTGTCCAGACCCAGCGTCACAGCCATCGCCAGGAGGAAAAGTCTAAGAGAAGTTGGAGAGATCTCTGGCTATACTGGCGCCAACAACGGGCACATTACACGTGAGGCACATTGAATTTGGCCAGCGCTAGTCTCGCCTCTGTCTTTCTGCAAACTCTCAAGGTGATACTGTCTCATAGCCAAAAAGGATAAATTCCCTTTATCATAATATCTAGAACAAGCTCAACATCTCTCGTATGCAATCCAGAGCTCTAAAAGATTTTTTTAGTTGCCATGTATGCACAAGCGTGGCTTACAGCATATCTTTGAACCTACGGGAATTTTAGTCTATATTAGTGCCTTGTATATGTGAAATATGTGTAAACATGGTATTTAGGCTATTCAAAATACTAGCACGCGCATATAACTAGACAACTACTTAGATAACTTAAATATACTTTCCGGAGTTGTTACTGATTCTACAATAAAGACGTGTTACTACACTGTTTTCTTATGTCCTATTTTTGCTTTGTTTTTTTCTATACTTGGAAAATCGTATAGTAGGAAAGGAAACTATATGAGCAAAGCTGTAGCTTTCCCTAGCATTATAATTTATAGGTATTAATATGCAGCTGTACAAGTCTAGACTATAGATGTAGATGATGAAATTGCGTCAGCGAGCTCCTGATCAAAGCTTCTATCTCTCGCGTCCGCATCAGTTCGGTAGGTTGGCCAAGTGTTATGGGATGGAATTAGATCCCTATCGGAACTGCCAAGGACCCTTCTTAGGCAAGGTGACATCAATGTCACATGATCCATGATCATGTGATCATATCATCAGGTCAAGACTGGATCGCAGTGGATCGCAAGACCTCAGATTGCGATCCATGAAAACCACTGCAAAGAGTTACAAGCTATAATAGTAAACAGATACCACCCCCAGGCTTAGAGGGGCATAGTTAATTCCTCACAGATAGCACTGCACCAATACTTAAACTACTTAATACTATCTTGTTGCTCCTAACTAAAGCGTACTACTACATCACTCTGTACTTACGCATAGTATAGTGAAGCACCCTGTCGTCTCCGAACATACACCGTGCACAGGATGGACTGTACGCCGCCCTAATATAGGTCGCCCCTCCTTCTAGACGACATACCACACACCACTACTACACATAACCCTGGTTAAGAGAAATTGTGGTAACAGTAACCTTCCCACTTAGCCAACAACAACCAATACATATCTTTAAATTCCTGCAGCCGAATCTCGTTTTTGCTGCTTAGACGCTTTCATTTCCTTTCTGTGACGTCGTTCTTTTGCCTCTGTTTCGGCCCTAGCCTCTGTTTCCATTATCATTTCTTCCAGGCGTTAATTTAATTGTTCACATTCAATCTCGTCTTCGAGAGGTCTTGTATTTGAAATCGATTAGGTGCTTTGTAGAGACTTAGAGCAATAATGCTTCTTCTCCAACAAATTTCGAGCGTGTCGTGGCCATGCTGTAACTTTATTAGTTCGTCCAGAGCATAAGAAAACCGACGGACGACTACTGTTGGCACTGTTGAAGATGATTCTAGCACTCGATATGGTTATTTTTGTCTTCGCAGAGGGAGTCCTGAAGTTCACTGATTCGGGGTCGGAGAGTGTTTGTTTCTTCCTCCAATGGCCGCAGCTGCTCGCATTCGGACTGGCTTTCGTATAGTTGCTGCTGGGGGCGCGATTTCTCCTCTCTCAATTCGTTCTGCACCTCGCTTACACTTGATCGGAGAGTTTCTGTCTCGCTGGCTAACACTTGTACCCAGCGTTCCCAACCGTACGTAATACGTTACAACTTGCCAAATTAATGGTCATAACTTCTTAGATTATAAGTACGTTTTAACGTAAGCATAACATTTAAGTCTACTTATAGAGCGTAACTGTTACAATTTACATTTCTCCTACATTTTAATATTTTATAAAAAGTTATGTTGTAACAGCTTATATATAGTTTACTAAAGATAATAATTTACTATAAACATAGCACTAACATAGCTAGTTTTTTTACAGTTAAAAAGCTTTAATTATTAGGCTAAAAAGCTTATTTTTATTATAAGTAATAGTCCTTCTACTACTACTAAAGCTTCTCTTATAGTTGCAGCTTATAAATAAGATAGACAAGAAGTTAAGAGTAATTTTATATAGTGTAAAATAGGCAAGCTGTCTAACTTATTCTTACTATATAAAAAAATTAGCAAACAAAGGGCTATTATCCTTAGCTATAGTAACATCTTTATAGTAACTATTATAGTATTACTGTAATTCTGTTATTTTTTACTACTTTTTATATAAATAATTACTAGTAAGGAGGCTTATGTTTATAAAAAAAGTCTACTTAAAGCTTATATTATAATACTTGCTACTTAGTAACTTACGTTGCGTAGATAGCAGTTACTTATTGTCCTCTGCCTCTACTTCTACCTTAGTATTAACATACTCTTAAAAAATAGCCTTTATTAAAGCCTTAGCTTTTTTATGCTATAAAAAGTGCTTATACTAGTAGTTTTTAAACTAAAGAAGATAAAGCTAAGAGTTAAAAATAGTTATAACATAATAATAAAATATAAGCAGCTTTATAATAAACTTTTTTTAGTATGTAAGCAACTTTTTTATGCTAAATGCTACGCTAGATTTAAAGTAGTAATTATTACTTTTACTTTTAAGTTTATTCTCTATCTAGAGAAGCTTAGTATATAAGTGTTATAAGTTAACAATAGTTATTTATAAGGATTTGTATAAGCTCTTACCCTTAAGGTGTTTTATTATAGAGTAAAAGACTTTAAGAAACTTATAAAAGTAATTAACTTTTTTTTATTTATTTTTAGTAATAATCTTAGTAAGAGCAGTATTACTAGAAATAGTAAAGTTAGCGCTATTATTCTTAGTGCCTTTTTACTTATAAATAAACTTAGTAATAGTGTCCTTAAGCTTGTAACAGCAGAGGAGCATAAAATAGACGCTGTGCTAGCGTACACTACTATTTTATATAAAATTAAGGGTTCTAAAGCTTTAGAAAAGGTTCTTATTATTAAGAGTAGCTTAAAAAGTTATAAAAGCCTTTTAGTGTTTATATAACACTAACACTATGTTTATAAAGTTATAAAGCTTACTTATAACTCTATGCTAATAGTATAGTTTAAATTAATCCTAAGGAGCAGCTTAGGCTAGCGCTGCTTTAAAAGTGTTTATATTTTTCTTATATATAACTGCCTTAACTACTAGCTAGATTGTATAACTAGCGCAGTGTATATAGTGCTTAGAGGTAAGGGGCCTTTTAAAATGTTACATAAAAGTAGAGATAGTTTTATTATTATTATTTAACATGTTATTAGCTACTAAATAATAGAATTTTAATATAATTTTAAAGTTATTAATAACTTTAATAATCTCCCTAGCTTAGTTTGCCTCTATATAGTTACTATATAGGTTATAAAAGCTAATAAGTATGTTATAGTGCTAGTAGTTAACATCTATATTAGTATAAGTAAGTGTGTTATTATTAATTTTTATAGTGCTAAGGTGCTAAAATAATAAGCTAAGGTACATATACTAATAAAGTGTAACACTACACCTAGAAAGAAAAGGTAGTTTAGAGAAGTCTATATATTAACACTTAACATAATTTTACTTTAAGCTATCTTTAGTATTATTTAAATCTCTGCTCTCTAGTGTAGGCAGGCCTTATTTATGTAGGAAGAAAATATTATATTTAAGACTAAAAAAGCTATAAGAAGATTAGCTTAGTGTTAAGTAAAAATGCTTTAAAGTTTTACTAATAATGCTATATTAAAAAAAATGTTATAAAAAATAACCTAATTAATAACTACTACCTACAACACTTCCTTCTACTACATATTATAAAAGATAATATATAATAAGCTAGCAACTTTATAAGTAGCTTTAAATAAACTTGCTAAAATTCTTAGCATGTTAAGTAAAAAACTTTTTTTAAAAACATTAATTTTATGTTTTTTTCTAAAGTAGCTTATAATATAAGTGTAACTATTAACTTTCTTTACCTTTTTATAAACACCTTTAGTGTAGCACCTCTTACAGAGCTATAGCTTTACTTTAGAGCTATTTTTCTTATTATTATACACTAAATCTGCTTTATGCTGCTAAATCTAGAAGAGCTGCTAGTTCCTATAAAGCTAGCTCTTATGCTTTACATAATACTTAACTTTTTTAGGCCTTAGCTTTTTATTTACTAGCTAAAAGTTATTCTACTTTATAGTAAAAGCTACTTTATTATTAAGACTAGCATTAGCTAAGTACTTCTTTAAATAGGCATTAAACAGTGTACTACCTTAAAATAAAACTAAAAAGAAAGATAATAAGGCTTTTTACCTAGTAAGGTAATAAAAACTAGTATAATAAAATATGTTAGTTTACTAAAAAAAGCTAGCTTTAGAGGATCCTTAGAATAAAGCAGTACACCTGCTGCGCTAGAGGAATTAGGACATTTAGCTTATAGTAGGTAGGATAATAAATGTAGATAAATTAATAATAATTTATAAGCTAAAAAGCTAACTATTTATATAAAATAGCACACTTTACTCTTAGCTTTTACTATAAGCGCTAATGTTTTATAAACCTTAAAGTTTTTACTTAATTATTACTTTAAGAATGTAACTTTAAACATGCTTTTAACGTAATTTTACATATGTCTAATTAGGTCCTATTTTAGTAGAAAAAGTCGCCTTTTTAAGACGTACTACAGTCTGTAATGGGCGCTCCTCTAGTTATACGTTACGACTCATATCTCTCCTACGTTTCAACGGCTCACGTGACTGTTACGGGTTGTATACTACGACTCGTAGTACGTACGGTTGGGAACCCTGCTTGTACCGTTGTAAAGTCTCTTTCTAACATCTTGATTCGCAGTCGTAGATTGCGTGTTTCTTCTGCCCACTCCGGGGCGCCACTCCCAACTCCGCGTCCTGCTCCTCTGCTCGGTATCTTCGTGGTCTTCTAGGCTTGTAGAGACGAAGTGTCGCCTTCGTCCTAGACACTTTGTGTGAAGCTAGGAGGAGCACCAGCGCTTCCAACAGTACGTAGTACGTAACCGAAGTACGTGAACGTAACTTTCACGTGAGCAGTAAGTACGTACTTGCTTTTTGAGCCGTAACTTACGGCTCACATCTCTGCCCCTACGTACCGTAGTACGTCTCAAAAAGTCAATATTTCCTAGCAATATAGATCCTGATTGGACATTTCTAGGGGCGCGTTAGCAGCGTGTTTAAGGTCGCGTTTTTAAGTAACAATTAGGTGAAAACTCTAAGGTTTGTGGGACTTTAGGGGATAGAGATGTGGGATCTTATGCAAATAGTTAACTTTTTGCCCAGTTTATTGTCCTAAGTCCATGCTTGCCTATACTCTTGCCCATCATGAGCTAACAGATGTCCCAGTTCCTCCATTGTGGCAGGCGTGCAGCCTCATCCCAGGGATCCTCCCGAGCCATGGTTGCAACTCCTACCCTACGCTATTCAAAATCGCCGTCGATTTCCTCGCTATCCCCTCCACCAGCTGCAACTATGAGAGAGCCTTTAGTAGGGCAGCTGCACAGTCACAATTAACAGGAACAGTCTAGGGGTTAATACAATTAAGGCTTAGCAGCTTTAAAAGGACTGGCTACGTCATCACGCAGTAGAGAGTAAATTGACAGCTCTAGCAGACTATATTAGGAGGAAAACTCTAGCAGTTACGGCGTAACTTCTCGCAAGAAGTACAGCTGTAGGAGGATTGTAAGCCGTTACAGTTACGCTACGTAAGGGACTATTAATTCACTTGTAACGTACGTACGTACTAACAAACTGAGAAGTTACAGTCTAAAAAAAGCTCAATTGTAACGTATTACGTACTGTTGGAAGCGCTGAGGAGCACAAGAGGCATGAGGAACTGGATTGATTGCTAAAGGAGGGCAACTACGGGTTTATGTGGTACTAGATGAACCCATCATGTGACTTAAGGCCACCAATAGCTCTAGGCAGCAGCAGGTCAAAGGAGTGTAGGTGGCTAGAGCATGGAGAGCTCCGTAACTGCAAACACTTTGGCTTTCAAGGATGATACCTCTGTTTGTATGGATTCGACATTTTTCTTCTCAAGCTCGAGTACTTCCTTGAAGGTACCGATCTCACACTGTAGTTGTGGGATTGATACCTTCTCCTCACGCTTGAAGAAAGCTTTCATCCACTTGCTGAAACTGACTTTGTGCCAGTTCGTCCGCCTCTTGTAAGATCCTTTGGTAATCGGCCAGAAACCTCATATTCGCTCGTGGGTATATGGCGACAGGCGTCTTCTCCGACTTCTTTTCCCACTATTTTTCCACTTGCGATCATTCTCTTGAGCGACTTAATAGTTAGGGATCGCCCAACACGGTCCACCTAGATTGTCCTTGGGTGATTGACAGTAGATATTCGAAGGGCTTCTAATATGTCTTTGTTTTTTGGCACTCTGGATTGAATGGCGAAGGGAGAGAGCGATTCTAATCTAAGCAGCGAGATCGACTCCAAGTCGGGAAAGGGCCTTGTACCTTAGGACTTACGCTGTAACCATGAAAACTTGTCGAAGCCAATCATAAGTTGTCTACTGTCGCTTGTCATACCTACTGACGTATATGAGCATGTTGCCAAACTCCCACTGGGATTGTTGTGGCTGGCGGGGGCTGTGTCGAGAACAAATAAATGAGACGGGGCGAACCACGCACCTAGCTCATTAGCTGAGCTGTACCTTCGTTATTTCTTCAGACTAGTCCACTAAAATTCTAATCATACAATATTTATTCCGTCACTCTAATCTCTTTACCCCTTAGGATGAAATCTCTTTTCAGCCATGGAATCTGAGGACTTCAAGAACTGGAAAGTTTGCTTCAAACCAACCTCTGCTCTTAGGTGTTGCGTAGGACAGGAAAATGGAGGGACGCCTAATGTGCACCATCGAATATAGATGATATGTTGGCCTGTTAGTCGACTCCATCACGACCGCGGTAAAGTGTTTAGCTGGGCATCAATTGATTGAAGACCCCGAGAAGATGACGCATTTGCAACGAATGCAACCAGGGCGTGTTCCTCCGTATCGTCAGGCTGCGATGCTTCAAGGCCGGTGACACGGAAGACAGAGCATTTCTTGCTTGCCGCCATCTTGGGTCAAGCGATGTGGAGCGCGGCTATCGACAGCGCCTTTGGAGGGTGGATAGGTAGCAGGCACGCAGAGGGTCGATCATAATGAATGGGAGCAGATGGGCAGCGGCTTTGACCAACCTTCTCGCAAGGCTAAGCTGTGCTGGCTTCCACGTATTCTCGCCAAGGTGATTTTTTTTGTCGCACGTGGCAATTGGAGCAGATGAAACTACAGCTCAGAGCCCCCTAAGCTCCTGAGACCATACCTTACACCTTAACTCAATCTACTTGTTTGGTTCTCACCACCTGATTGACGACTCTCACCTCTTCATATGCCCTCTATCATCTCTCAGCTCAAACCGTGCGGTAATTTGCTCTCTTACCCCCCGTCTGCCTTCGCGAGAAAAATTAGTCCCGAAACCTGGCCTCCCATCCATGACCACTACTCTGGAATTCAACCAGGGCTTCCAACGGGCCGTACTACGGTCCGTACAAAGTGAACCGTAATGGTCACGTGTTCAGTACGAACGTACTGAGTTTGTGAGCCGCACTGTACAGTTAATGATGCCCTAGGTACAGTACGTAGTACGGATTGTATTACCCTTTTAGGAAGTTTTTATAGCAATTCTAGAGGAGTAGGAGGACTCTAGTAAGCAGGAGGTCTGCAGGGAGAGCTTCTAGAGCTCTAATTAGCTAAAAGTTTTATAAGGGCGCTTAAATCTCTTTCTAAGGGGTTTAATCTATCTATCTGCAGTCTGTTGTCTTAAAAATGCCTATTATAGACTATTTTCTATTACAGAGTTATCTATCTATGTGTTTTACTGCCTTATAGGCCTTATTTAGTTAATTAGATCTCTCTATTATCTATTTTACGCAGTCTTATAGGCTGCAGAAGTTAAAAGCCCTCTACACTATGTCTTCTGCCTTATTCTGTAATAGTACACTATTTATAGCTAAAGATTAATTACAGCAGTTCCTAGAGAACTGTAATTATAACACTAGCGTTAAGTTTATAATTAATTAGAATAATATATAGCTATTAGACTTAAAATAGGCGTTGCCTTTAGTATAATAAAGTTACTAAGTAAAAAACAAGACTACTTTATAAAGTAATTATACACTATTAAAAGTGTAAGCTTATAGCGCAGATATAACACTCTTAGAGAAGTAAAGTAAGGTAATTTACCTCTAGCTTTACTATTAGTGTTATAAGCAAGGCTTTTAAAGCGCTATAAAAGTAGTAGATAGCTATAACTATATTATTTAGCACCTACTAAAGAAGCATAAAGTTAATGTTAATAAAGAGCTCTTACTTAATAGCGTACAGCTACTGCAGCACCTATAGAAGGCAGCTAGAGGAGCAGCAGGCTTGTCGCGGGGGTTATCTTATACACTATAGCAGGAGGGTTCTCTACGCAGTGCCCTAGTTAACTAGGTTATAGTGTAGGATTAGTTATTTAAAAAGGCTATTTTATTAAAAACTTATAGTTTTATTAGCTAAAATTATATAAATTTTTTTACTACTTTACTATATTTTACTACTACACTCTCTAAGGATATCTACGCTGCACTTATGTAGTAAAAGAAGGAGATTTAAATAATACTAATTACTGCACTATTAAAAATTATACTAAGTGTAGATATATAGTGTTCTAAAAACTACCTTTTCTTCCTTACAGTAGTAGCTTACTTTGTTAGTATGCGCATATAGGCTACTATTATAAGAACTCTGTAACTAATAATAGCTAAATGCTTTACACGCTTAGTAAGACCTCTTAATTAGCTTTAAAAACCTATATAGTAACTATACTAGTAGTATGTAAGCCTCTAAAATAGCTGCTATTATTAATAAGTATAATATTATGTTAAAATTTAGCTGCTTTATTAGAGATAACATGTTAAATAATAATAATAAGCTTATTTAAAGCCTTAATAAGAAGCTTAACTTACTATATAAGCTTAATAGACAGCACTAAATCTGCTGCACTGCCTATATAATCTAGGTAGTTGTTAAAGCTATTATATATAGTAAAAGTATTATAAAATTTAAGTAAGAGCTTACTAGAGCTACTTTACATAATTAATTTAAGCTATATAAAAAGTGTAGAGTTGTTAGACAACTCTATAACTTTATAAATAGCGTGCTAGCATTACATAAGTGTATAAGGCTTTTTAAGACTCTCTAAATTAACATTATAAAAAAGGACTTAATTTAGTAGTTTAGCACGCTTAATCTAGTGCATAATAGTAAAGTACGCTAGCACTTAGTTTACTTTATGCTATTACACTGTTATAAGCTTAGAGAGGCTATTAGTTACTTTTAATAGTAATAAAAAGGCTCTTTTAATGCTAATAAAAAGACTTAATAAGCTAGCTTTAATACTCTAGTAAATTTTATTACTAAAGATAATTAGAATAAGATTAAGCGCTTTAAAAACTTTTTAAAAAAGTTTTATTAAATAATAAAAAAACTTAAAGGCTAAAGCTTATCTAGCTATTACAATCCTTGCTTTAAGAAGCACTTAGGTCTTATAGTATTCCTACAGGGGGGGGGGGAAGTAGGACGGGAGGTAGGGGCTAACTGGTAGGGTGTACAGTCCTACGTACAGGCTATTAGGCTAATAGAGGCTTATGTAGAATGACTAGATTGTAGTTTGCCCTATATGCAGCAGTAGGGAGGCTAGGGTTAAACAGTCCTTATTAGACAAAGTTAAAAGTATATATAGTGTAAGATATATAAATAGTATTATAGCTCTTTAAAAAGCTAAATGCTACTTAGTCTATATAATAAATAAACTAAATATTAAACACACCTTCTAAAGGTTGTTTAATGTAGGAACTATATACATATGCTAGGGCGCTAAAGGGAGCTAGTAAGAGTTTATAGGAGTTTACTAAGGGGACTTCTACAGGCTTTCTTAAGCTCTCTTAGGCTCTTTAAATTTACAGCCTGTTTTCTTATTAAATAACGCATTCTTCTATAACATTAAGCAGCTGCGCTGCCTTTATGTCCTCTAACTAGTCTTTAAGCAAGCCCTGTCCTAATCTAGCTAGATTGTGGAGCACTGCTAGTAGAGTTACGCTAGTCTAACTATAGACTATAACACGCTGCCTCTTCTTCTTAGCAGCGTCCTTACTGCTCTGCTTACACAACTGTGTTAGTAAAAGTTTGTTTATAAAGTGCACATCTACTTACTAAAAAGCATTCTTAACATTTATATTTCTTATACTAAATAGCTTGTTAGTTCTGTTTATCTTATTATTTTTATATTGCTCTTTATTTTAATCCTTTTTGTTAGATAAAGATAAGGCCCTATAGCGCTTACTAGTTTTTAAAGTTGTTATGTGTGTTAACACTATCTTTAAACAACTATGTTAAGTGTGTAAAAAAGCATAGTAAGTGCAATGCTTTTATCTCTAATGCTGCCTAGAACTGCCTAGAGAAAAAAAGAGAAGCGCTTCTTTAAAAAGCTTTTATTATAAAAGCTTAGAAGTAGGCTTTACTAAAAAAGTAGCTAGCCTATAAGCGCCTTTTACTAGAAGAATAGTAGGCTTAGGACTAGAAGTAGCTTTGCTTACAGAAGAAAATGCTAAGAGTAATAGATAAGAAGTGTTCTAAATAAAATTATATCTAAAAGTTACTAAACTTACTAAAAGCTTATTATATAAAGTACTTAGAAAATTTTTTTTTTTTTTTAATAAAATAAAGGCCCTTAAAGCTAAAGTAAAGAGCTGTTTTTTTTTTAACTTTTATTAGCTAAGACTTGTCTTTAAAAGCTACTACTATTTAGTAATAACATAGCTGTTTCTTTTAATATAGGTGCTTTATTGCCTAGCTAGTTTTTTTTAGATAAGCTTAAAGGTACCTTTATACTAATAGCTATATATTTTATAAATTCTTAGCTAGTTTTTATATGTTTTTACTAGTAAGCTACTTTTTTTATTTTACTAAAAACTCTTTTTAGTTTTTTTAATTACTTATAATGCGCTTAACTTTATACTCTATTTCTTTATTTTTTTATTTTTAGGTAAATAAAGGAATCTTCTTAAGTGCTTTTTTTAGTTTAAAAATATAAAACTATAAATATATTTTTATATGTAAAGAAAGCTTAAGCTTATAGTTATTTTATTAAGTTTAAAAGACTTTATATAGTTTTATTTTTTTTTTTACTAGCTTTCTAGAAGGTCTTAGTATCTTTAGGTTTTTAGTGTTAAGATACATATAATTCTCTAGGTAAATTTCTAGTCCTAGTTATTATAATTTATTTACATATTTTTCTATTATTTCTTTACTAGTTTTAGCTTTTATAGCTAACTTTTTATATATCTAGTGTAGGTTTACTAGCTAATTTATTAATTTTTATAAGTCTATAAGTTAATTCCTATATAATGTAAAGTAGGGGTTATATTTAAAATTAGCTTTATATAGTGTTTTCTTTATTATAGCTAATTCTACATTATTAATAGCTAGCTATGCTATTAGAAGCTATGCTGCCTAATTATTTTAAGTATAAGAAATGTACTTTCTTAAGTATTTTTTTACTTCTGTGTTTACTCTCTTAGTCTAGCTGTCTATTTACAGGTAGTAGGCTATTAATAGCTTATGTATTATACTAAAGTGTCTTATTACTGCTTTTTAGAAGCTGCTAGTAAATAACTTATCTTAGTTAAAGATAATAATCTTAAAGCATCTATATACTAATATTATGTTTTATTTTAATTTATAAATAAATTTCTTAGCTATTATTATTTTTTTTAAGGGCTAGATATGTAAATATTTAGTAGTTTTATTAAGTGCTACTATAATTATGTTGCACATCTTGTTAGTCCCTAGTTCTTTAGACAGGGGTAATTTTATAATAAAGTCTATTATAATTATTGTCTATAGTAACTTTAAAGCTTTAATTAGTTAGAGGTACCTATATAGCCTGTGCCTCTGCAGGTTGTTTTTATTACAGGTATTACATTCTTTAAGCACCTCTATGCATAGTTGCTTTATCTTTAGTATACACTAAAAAATAGCAGCTTTTAGCTTTTTTTAGAGGGTGCCTATTTCTAGGTGCTTAAACATTAGGAATTTATAATATTTTTAAATTAAGTTCTTCTATCTTTACTTACTAGCTATAAGTATGTAGAGTTCTTTTATAAGTTAAAGCTTATTATAGATCTATCTTTTACTAGTTTTTTTAAAAAGTGTAAATTTTTTAGTTTCTTCCTTCTTTTTATTAAAGTAGTCTAGCCTTTAGCTAAAAGTGTTAGCCTACTAGTTTTACATTTCTAGAACATACTTAATAATGTAGTTAAACTGTGTAAGCTTTATTACTTATTTTATATGCATTAGTAAAAGTTTCTTTACTATTAGAAATGTAACTAGATTTATATAGTTAGTTATAATATAAAATAGCTTTGCTATTTTATGTAACTTTATAGCTTATACTCTTATAGCATTTAATATTGCTTTTAGTTCTTTATTAGGTATGCTGTAGTTAGCCTTAGGTCCTAAAAACTTAGTAGAATAGTACGCAACTAGGTGCTATTTTCTGT